TCACCGGATCCACTGGCTCAGTAGGACACGGGGAAGTAAGCGCTAGGTCATTTTCAGACAGCGCAAGTACTAGTTCATACTTCTCTCACCATACCCTATAGTTGCCCCCTTCAAGAGGTGGTATATGCGAGATAAATGTCATTGGGTTGAGTCCTGAAAAACACCGTCAGAGAAAGTGAGAAAATTGAGATAATAATTGCATGCTTTAATTTAACATTGGTCAAAATTAAAACATACAACTTTTTATACACTAATTCTACATCACCGTTGGGCAGAAATAGAATTAATGCATGGAAAAACTTATGAATAAACATTATAATTTTGCTATTATCAATGTTGGTCAAAAAAATAACAATATTCTAATTTTCTAACTAAATAACTGCTCTTCAAATTAAATTCTCCCGTTGGTTCGAATTTAATTGAAAGATAATAAACTTTAACATTACAAAGGAAACATAAAAAAATTCATTATCTATTTTCAGAAGCATTTAACTTTTCTCATCTACCCTCTGAAAAAATTATCTTGTTGGTTCAAATTTTGATAGAGATTTAAACTAGACAAAAATCATCAAAAAATTCCTTCTGAAAAAGAATAAAACATAAACTCGGAGTTCACTGTTTATTTGGCCCAGATTTGATGAAACAGTCGCTACCCACGTCCGCGCGTGCGGCCCAGCGCCGCGAAATCGGCCCACTACGCACAGGCGCGCAGCTCCTCCCCCACGCCCAGGCCGCAACATGGGCCTAGGCTGGGATTCCTCGCGCCTGTCTAGGCCTAATCTAGGTCCAGCGAATCGTAGCCGTTGCTCACGATCGGACGGCCGAGCGACGTTTGCGCGAGAACAAAACCCCCCGCCACGGCGCAGGCGCCCTAACCCTAAGTCATTCTCGCCTCCCTCCGTCTCCTCTCCTCAGCGCAGCTAGAAGAGAAAAGAGAGCAACGCAGCGGCACCGCCGCCGGTCCCCTCGCCGGCGTGCTCGCTCGCCCTAGGCTGAGTGCGCCACCATGGCGCCCTTCACCGAGGCACGCGTGCGACTAGAGCCACGCGCGGCGCCGTCGAGTGGCACCGTGGTGGTGCTCTTTGCACCCTGCGCTCTTGTGTGCGACGCCGCAGAGCACCGGTGAGCCGGCGGCTCTCTCAGCGCGCGATGTCTTCCCGCACGACGGCGGTGAGGAAGATCCCAGGTAGCTCTCTCCCTTCGCCAACCTTTCTTCTTCTAGGGTTAGGGTTAGGGTCCGATCTGTTTCATCAAATCGAATCCCCTCCTTCTACTCGGTTTTCAATCCGATTCAGCTCGTTCTTGATTTCTTTTTGATCTGATCTACTACAAGAGCTAGATCTACGCCTAGTTAGACAACTGATACCATTGATAGATGGATAACAGGATCACTAGCCATAAATCTAGCACGTATATGGACATATGATTGAATAGCAAACCGTAGAACATGCTAGTGCGAGAAACAAAGAGAAAGAGAGAGAGAGAGAGAGAGAGAGAGAGAGAGAGAGAGGTTGCGGAGGTGTAAACCATCGGCCGCCTTCGTAGAAGACGAGCTTGCCATGGGGTGCTTGTCGGTGGCGCGGTGAGGTCCGGCGGTGAAGTCGTAGACGCAGTGGCGGCGGTGCAGAGGCGGCGGTGGCCGGTGGCGGTCTTCCCGTCGCTGGCAGCGCCCCCTCACTAGATTGGCTTAGGGTTTAGGGACTGTAGGTGGGGCGTCTGACGGCTCAGGTGAATCTCGTGCCTTGTGCCCCGGCCCCCACCTCTCTTTTTATGGCGCTGTACGATGGGGCCCACCAATCATGAAGCGGTTGGGCGCCCCCCATCAGGGCGCGAATCCAAGGGCCTGGGCCAATTGGTGGAGATCAATCTAACACGGTCAGCTCCGTGATAAAGCTGCAACACCGGCGGCTGTGGACGGTGTACAAGTGTGACACATCTCGCGGCCGAATGAGGAGGCAGCTGCCTCCCAGGCCAATCCCTTGGTATGTGTCCAGATTCTCATGTACAACGAGAAGGAGGTCAATCCCATGGTGCTCGTCTATATTCCCATTTGTAGAAACGAGAAGGAGGTATGTACTTTAAGCACGAATGCTGGAGCAGAGGATCCGGGAAAGAGGTGGGATGAATGATTGTGAAGACTCCCGAATAAAAAGGTTGCATCGTGAAAGATAGTTTCTTATACAGAGTCATGGAACATAGAAACTACTTCTAGTTTCTGTATTTGTGAGTGCCTTGCAGCTAGCTACCGCAGACACCGAGAATCCGGGACACCCCCTGCATCTCGTCCGGACACGCATGCTGCATGTTTTCTTCCTTCGCCGTTCCTTAGGCGACGAGTCGCTAGCTGCCGTGCGGCGATGCTGACAACGTAAAGAGAGGCATCGCTACGGGCGCTTACGGAGAAGAAAAACAGCTTTCGTCCTCGTATTGTTCGTTTCTTCACCTTGAACACATATATAGGGTTTTATTATTTAACTGTAGTTCGGGCATTTAAAAGCACTCGTTCGCTGCATGTGTGAAGATACAACAGTTCCTGTTAAAATACTCCCACTGCACGTCTCAAATTCTTATACCATCTGCAAAAGGATAACATATTAAGATATTCCCTTCATCATAAAACTTCTAGAGAGTTGTCTCCTAATTTAAACTTTCTTAAGTTCAACCAAAATTATAGAGAAAAAAAGCAAATATTTGTTACACAAATCAGTATAATTAGTTACAACATGGAATGTCTTTTTTTGGCGTACATATTTATTTAGTGTCATAAACGTAGGTCTTCTTTTTATAAAAAATGATCAAACTAAAATAGTTTTACTGGGCACAATTCTAGAAATTAATTTATCATGAGACCGATGGAGTATTTTATACTACCTTACTATTACTAGTTGGAGATGAGACTCCATATTTGTTTTTACGAGCGCTAAAATACATAATACATAGAAAATTTCATAAAAATGAAATATCTAATCATCATTTTTTAAGATCACAATCATCATCTTAATATTACAAATTGGAGACCTCCAACTAAGCCTACACATTAATTTTCATGAGTTGGCAAAAAGAATTTTCCTAAAAAATTACAAAAATCTTGAACATCTAGCCTTTAATTTGTCGGATTATAATCATCATTGTCAATAATATATATCCATTGGTCCCTTTTTTCAAAAAGTTGTCACCTCTGTCATATAAAAATAAACAAAGTAACTTCTAAATTTACATCTAAACTAGGCACCTCTGTCATTATGAAGGAAATTTTACATCATTGTCTAAATCCTACTAACTTAAGGCCCTCAATTAAGCCTCCACATTCATCGTCACAAGATGCATTAGCAAAAGAATCTTAGAAGTTACCATAATAATAAAAAATAATGTCCATGGATCTTAACATCATAGATAATACTATCCATTGGATCTATCCTGTTTTTCTAAAAGAATTACTTACTTCTACCTTTACAAAAAAAAAAAACATAAATAGCCCTAAATCTATATCTAAACTACTAACATATGCCATTATGAAAGATAATTTAAAGTAACACTAAAAATTGCTTTGCAAATATCGATCTCATCCATTATAAAATAACCTCTTTTATTTGCATTTAACGTGTCCACATTTGTTGTCATAAAACATAAACTAAAAATCCCTCAAATCTAAGTTTAAATTGCTAATATAAGCTACATAACAAATAATATATAAGCTACTTAAATCTAAATATTTTTGAATCACAATACAAAGACTCATATATATGCACGCCACTCACTCGTACAAGCACCCCTCAAAAGACTGAGCCAACAGGTTTTGAGACTAGCGAAGTCATTAGTGTGCGCTCGTATATGTGAGCGTCTGCGTCTGTAACTGGGTCTCACAAAAAAACAAGTGTCTCATTGTCTATCATTGAAAGAAGAACATTGTTAAGTCTAGAATAAATTCAAAAAAAGTGCAAGAGCACATGTCAAGTCATGGGCTTACTCGGATAGATAGGTTTCACCACAAGAAATATAACTAGCAGTCGAGTTACGGTGGATTTGCATATGTCACCATACGCACAAAGTACATTAGCGATAAATATATATATGTTGTAGTTTATCGGCCATGAAATAATGTTTCCACATTTTGAAGGACAAAACCGAGCTTAGTACGATTTATGACTACACATCTATTAAGTAAAATAATATGCAACATAAACCATAGAAAAATATAAATCTAGATATATAGCACATGTATTAGTGTATTACAAAAATTTGGTTTTTTCTTTCAGCCACCACTGGAATTACATAAATTTGCAAAATTTCATGAAATTTTGAACTCTGCGGACAAACAAAATAAGATATTCCTCCTTAAAGAAACCTGAAGATGTGTGGCAAAGGAGTTAGCATTGCGACTTCGTTGCTGCTAGCTCACCCTATCTATTTTCCTGTCATACTATACATTATTGACCCAGGCTGAAAATTCTGAAATAAATCGAGTTCATATATATCGATCATCTTTTTTTTTCCCAAAGCGAAATGACAATAATTTGAATTGTTGATTGAAATTCCCAGTCCGGAAAGCAGTTAAGATGATAATCACGACCTTTTATTTGGATGTATCCAGTTAGTCTGCACTGCATAGAAGATCCACCCGTCTATTTCCACCACTGTCAACCACATGATCGATGCGGAACAACTAGTACTAATCTACTGTCAACCACTGAAGCAAACACTTGACTAGTCACACACTAGTCATAGCCGTCTCCAGGCAGCTTATCATCATCCATTCCATTCTGAATTTCTGATCCATACCACCGTGGAGTACTAGTAAAACAAATAGCCGCCGGCCCCGTTATAAATAGCCGGCGACGCCAACCCGCTCTGCTCCTGCTTGTCTTTCCCTTCTCCCTTCGAGCCACCACCAACCTTTCCTCAGCTTAGCCAGCCAGCCAGCTTCCTTGTAACCCTAGCCGCGCGCCCGCCGGCTCGTAAACCCTAGCGAGTAGCGAGGGATGCAGCCCACGACGCAGGAAATGCAGGCCATGGCCGCCGCCGGCCAGATCTCCCTCGACGACCTGCGCGCGGCAGCAGCAGGCGCTGCGGGCGGCGTGCACGACGACTTCCTGGACCAGATGCTCGGTGGCCTGCCGCCGTCGGCATGGCCGGAGCTGGCATCCGCGGCGGGAGGGAAGGCGCCGGATGGCGGCGCGCAGGCGGAGGGGATGCAGCACCAGGCGCAGCACTTCGGTGGGGGGTTGTACGACGAGTCCGCCTTGCTGGCGTCGCGGCTCCGGCAGCACCAGATCAGCGGCGGCCCTGCAGGCGGCGGCGGCGGCGGCGCGGAGGCCGCGAAGCAGATGGTGCTGCAGCAGCTGGCCGATCTGAGGCAGGGACACCATATGTTGCTGCAGGGCATGGGCCGCTCGACGGGCGGCGGCGGCGGCAGCGGAGACGGCGGCCTGCTCCTCCCGCTCTCCCTCGGCAGTGGCGGATCGGGCGGCGACGTGCAGGCGCTACTCAAAGCCGCCGCCAACTCCGCTGTACTGATCCATCGCCTTCTTTGCTCAAATCCACTTGCAGCCTTTTTCCCCTTCAAGAATCTAGAATCTTTTGCGAAAAAGTTCGCGTTTTTATTCGGAGTTCGTTCGTTCCAGGGAGGAGAAGCCGGCGGCGTCTTCGGCGGTTCCTTCGCCGGATCACTCCAGCAGCAGCAACAGCATTTTCAGTCGCATCCGCAGGTTCGCAAGATCAACGAATCACATGCGTACATGGCTTAAATGCTTGTAGCACACAGGCCGCCACCTGTATAATCTCTAAAGCAAGCACGGTTTTGATTCTCGCAGCAGCAAACGGCGCCGTTGCCGGGCCAGGGCTTCGGTGGAGGAGACGGAGGCGCGGGCGCGGGCGCGTCCGGCGGCGTGGCCGGGGCTGCGGGCGGAGGCGCGGCGGCGCCGCCCAGGCAGCGCGTACGGGCGCGGCGCGGCCAGGCTACCGACCCCCACAGCATCGCGGAGCGGGTGAGCTACGCGACGAGACGACGCTCCTCCTGCCCTCCTCCCCTCGCTAATATAATTGCCGCTCTGCGTCTCCAGTTAGTCACGTCGTCGAGTAGTTAATTTTCAGTTCGGCTAATAAAATCCGCGACGGCAGTTGCTAATTAGGCTCCCGTGCCTGACTGACTGACTGTTGTTGTTTCCTGGATTTGGATTGTTCTCCGTTCCGACTCCCAACCCCAACGTCCCAACCACTGATATTTCTTTGTCCGTTTCTTTGTTCTCATATTCTTCCCTGTCACCGTCACCGTTTTGCAGCTCCGGAGAGAGAGGATCGCGGAGAGGATGAAGGCGCTGCAGGAGCTGGTGCCCAACGCCAACAAGGTGAGATCAATTGCATACACGCTTGCTTTGAGAAGACGAGAGAGGAGAGATTGCAGAGGCGGCGGCCTAGGGTTTTGGTTGTTGGGAGATGATCGATGCTGGTAATAAAGGTTCCCCCAATCACTCGTAGCGAGTTTGTGCCGAGGAAAACGGTGGATTAAACAATGGAAGACTGCACGCAGCTTTACTAGAGTCCAACCAACGCCATGCCCGCCCGGAGAGCTGTAGGAGTCTTGAGTCACCAGATTGAGCTAGCAGCCGCGTGGGCGGAGGTGTGGCCGGTGGTGGGCGCGCGTGCGGGGCACATTTACCCGCACGTTGGCCTACTTGACCAGCACCGTGCTCCCTCGGCGACCGCGCGGGGACGAAGGGCATCGCATAGCTTTTTCTCTGCCTAGAATTCCTGCCCATGTCGCGCGCGGCGCCGCTTCCGAAGAAGGGGAAGAGGCTCTAGCTTTAGCGCTTTCTTTTCAGCTGTCCACCTCCATCGTCCTTTTTGTTCTTTGCGCTTGGCTTGGGCTTCCTTGCTCGCCGTCGCCGAGTACTGATGCATCTTGCTGCTTGTTTTCTGATTGCCTTGGATGGCTGGCTGCGCCGTGCATGCAGACGGACAAGGCGTCGATGCTGGACGAGATCATCGACTACGTCAAGTTCCTGCAGCTCCAAGTCAAGGCAAGCATGAAATGTTAAATGGCAGTACTGCACTCATAGCAGCAGTGTACTCGATCCATATATGTATGATACGGAGTACGATGATGTTGTTGATGGAGTTGCTGACATGTAATCTGCGTTTACCAACCCACGCAGGTGCTGAGCATGAGCCGGCTAGGTGGCGCCGCTGCCGTCGCGCCGCTCGTGGCCGACATGTCCTCGGAGGTAACTCTCCCCCAAGCTCTCTTTCTCTCTGCCCCACTTGCATTGCAGTCGACCAAGTGGCAAGGCATGCAGCTTCTGCTTCTCTCTCTAGTCTAGCTTTTGCCGCACTCGAAAGATTCAGCGGGAGATGTGAACAAACTTTTCCGTGCCACGGCTGATGGCTACTGCCACTGCCGCAGCAGCCCACAGTGCCTCTCGTGCCTCCGCGCGAAATGACGCGGCTACCCCGCGCCAGCACCACGCCGCTGGATACAGTAACAGTACACGCGTGCCTGATGAATCTCTGCACCTCTGCTTCTTTGTGGACCGTGTGTTGCATGCAGGGTCGAGGCGGGGCGGCGGCCGCGGCCGGGAGCGATGGCCTGGCGGTGACGGAGCAGCAGGTGGCGAAGCTGATGGAGGAGGACATGGGCACCGCCATGCAGTACCTGCAGGGGAAGGGACTGTGCCTCATGCCCGTCTCCCTCGCCTCCGCCATATCCTCCGCGACGTACCACATGCGACCGCCTGTGGGGGGACCCGGACTCGGGGTCGCCGCCGCCGCGCACCATATGGCCGCCATGCGGTTGCCCCACGGCATGAACGGCGGCGCTGGAAGCGGAGCCGACGCCGTGCCGGCCTCCCCGAGCATGTCCGTGCTCACGGCGCAGTCGGCCATGAACAACGGCGCCGGGGATGGCGGGGCTGATGGCGAGGGCTCGCACTCGCAGCAGCAGCAGCATTCCAAGGACGCCGCGTCCGTGTCGAAGCCGTGATCCCCTCGAGAAGGCGACGGCCGCCGTTTCACTAACGGCGAAACCATGATATCCGGAGATGACGGCGTCGGCCTCCACTTCCGTATCCGTGGGTCGTCTCTCTCTCGCTCACTTGGTTGGACTCGCTGGGAAACGTGGGCTCCTTGGCGGGCCCTTCCGCACCCCGGCGGATCCACGGGCTCTCAGCACTGCAGGTCTGCAGCTAGCTGTGCAGCAGCAACCTTCAGACTCCCACTTCTTCTTTTCTTTCTTTTTTTTCTTATTTCTTCCTAGTGTTATCATTGTTTTTTCTTGTTTAATATTAATCCCTGTATGCCGTTTTTTAAAAGTAAATAGTATCAATTAGGGCCTTGTTTAGATTACAAGTTTTTTCACTCTCTCTCTATCATATCAAATCTTTGGACACATACATGGAGTATTAAATGTATATAAAAAAATAACTAATTACATAGTTTGATTGTAAATTACGAGACGAATCTTTTGAGCCTAGTTAGATCATGATTGGATAATAATTGTCAAATACAAACGAAAGTACTACAGTATCAAATACTGATTTCTAACCCCAATCTAAATAAGCCTAACTAATCCTGGTTCTCCTCGGCTGGCTTTGTGACAGCTTTACCCTCTCTTTTCCCGCCATCCGCATCAACTTTTTTCCCCTCCTTTTTTCTGTTCCTGCCCTTTCTTTGCCTGGGCCCACTTTCTGTTTAATTTACTTACGAACAAGTTTGTCCTTTGCGGTTGGACGGAGAATTTGGTCTCCCAGCTTTGGCTACTAACCCATTCTTTTCCAGTTTTATTATATTTTTATATTCTCATGTGTATCTTGCTATATCTTGTGTACTCCCGGGGGAGTTGTTCTCGGCCCCACCAGTGAAGAACAAAATGTGCTGGTATTCTTGCTCGGCAGGGACTTGGAGGGATGGATGGATATATCAGAGTGATGCTTGGAATTTTAGGTTGAGCATTTATTGTTTGTTTAAGTTATCGTTTATTTATGGGTTAATAATCTCAAAAGTGACTTGACTCTGAACGTTCTCGAAAAGACCTATGGAAGGAGCAAGGAATCAGTATACAACCTGTTCGCTTGTCATATTTGACTTACAAGCCATGTCTTATCAGTCAACAAATAATATTTTTTTCTCACACTAAATAAATCAACGGTACTTTCAGCTATGGCTTATAATTCAAACCAGCCTAAACGAATAGGGCATATACAAGTGGAGACAAATAAAGTGGGAGAGGATTTGCGACTAACTGCTGAGATACGATGTTTTGTTGACATTCAAGATTATAGTAAACCAATGGCAGTAGGCCGGTAACATCCCAAATTAAATACATATCTCAAATTTTGAGAAGTTAATTGATCTCAAATTTATAACTAAAAATGTTTTTAAAATATTGATACATATGGTATACCAAATAAGTATTATTAGAGTGATCACGTCATATATTTTCATAGAAAACCTATCCAGAATTTTAGATATGTATAAGTGGTGATACTAATTTCTATAAATCTTTTCAAATTTAAAATTAGTTAACTTATCAAAATGTGAGATGAACACTTATTTTAGAATGGAGGTAGTCACGACAAAGCACCCCCATAGTCGATTGTTGCTTCTTTGTTTCTTAAGTTCCTCTAATTCTTTAACCCTCATTCTATATGGACGCTTAGCTATAGGTGCGGTTCCAGGTAATAATTCAATAATAAACTCAATGTCACGGTCAGGTGGCATATCTGGCAAGTCATCGGGGTACACATCCGGAAACTCATCCACTACCGGGTCCTCCTTGTTGACGCTATCATCAAGCTGGTTCACTGTGGCTGCCGGCTGTGCTTGTACTACAACATCGACACTGATTCTATCTTCATTCGGTGCGATCACAACAACTACCTTCTCTTGACACTGAATGACTGTCCGATTTTGCTTCATCCAATCCATACCTAGAATCACGTCAATGCCAGATGTTCTCAACACAATGGGGCTCACTTTGAACTCTACCCCCCTTAAGGATAGACTAGTTGGAAGGCAATGATAAGAAGCTTGCATACTACCTCCTGGTGAGTTTACTAATATGGGATCTTTCATGGCACATAAGGGTATGCTATGCGTTCTAACAAATGCTTGTGATATGAAAGAATGTGAAGCTCCAGAATCAAAAAAAATAGTGGTAGGAGTGGAGTTGACATCAAACGTACCGAGCATGACTTCTGGTTCCGCAAGCGCCGTCTATGTAGACACATGATTCACCTTTCCCATGTGCGGTGCTGGCTTCTGAGGCGTTCCTTTCGGATTACTGTGCTGACCCTAGGGTGTTTGCTGATTCTGCTTCCTAGGACAATGGTTAGCATAATGCCCAACTTCTCTACAACAATAACATACGTTGGGGGTGCTAGGTGCATTGGTCTTCATGGGAGTATTGTTAGGCGTTCCCTAGCGTGGTGTTTGTTGGCCACTCTACTACTAGGGACGTTGATTGTCATTCTGCAGTTGGTACGGTGGATCTGCTGGTTCGGGTTGCGCTGAGGGTACTGACCACAATTCCATTGATTGGACGGTCCCTGGTACCTCTGCTAGAAACCTTGCTGAGGATTGGTGCGCTGACGAGTATTGCTTCTAGAGGCCTGTCCCTGAAGCCTTCTGTTCTTAGCCTCCATCTCTTTGCGCTTGTCAATAATAATAGCGTGATTCACTAGTGTCTGGAAATTGAGATATGTATTGACATAAGCTGGAGTTGCAGACCATCATACAGACCCTTGAGAAAGCGGCGTTGCTTATCAGCATCATCAGCCACCTCATTCGGAGCGTAACGTGATAAGTGAGCAAATTTATCATGATACTTAGCTACAGACATAGATCCCTGTTTCAGAGCTCTGAATTCCTCATGTTTTAGCTCTATCAATCCTTCGGGTATATGGTAAGATATGAAATTCTCTCTAAACTCTTGCCAGGTGATAGGAGGAGCATTAGTGGGGCGTTCATACTCGAATGCCTCCCACCAGTCTTGAGCTTCTCCCTGAGTTGTCCTGATGCGTACAACACCTTCTGCTGATCATCGTACTGCGCTATGTTGAGTTGTTTTTCCACTGCACGAAGCCAATCATCTGCTTCTAGTGGATCAGTGGCATGAGAAAACACCGGGGGACGGCCTTTCAAGAATTCACCATGCTTGTCACGCAGTGCTCCACCAATTGATTGATTATGCTGCTTCTGCACCAGAGCTTGCATAAGTTGTGTTTGCACTGCCAGAAGTTGCTCAATAGTCGGTGGCGATGGTGGTGGTGGATGTAGGGGAACACCTCCATGACCTCGGCCTCTTCCTCTTTCAGACATCTGACATCCAACACAAATATTCAAAATTTAGAGATTTCCAAGTTATATACACTTATAGAGATATAGAATACATTCTGAAAATTTTCTGGACGAGTTCCAACATCAGCAGCTCGGTAAATCAGTCATATCTCAAGTTCTAGATATCCAAAAGAGGCGTTCTTTACATGGTTGGAAATCTTAAGAAGTTATCTACAACTTTTATTCAGACCACATTCCCAGATTCTGTTGTTAGGTTACTTAAAATAGAACACAACTGAAATTGTTCTAGATTCCAAACTGCAGAAACTTCAACTTGAAACAACTATATCTCTCAAACTAGATCAGATATAGGTGTGATTCTAGAGGCATTAGAAATATACTTAAGTATAGTTATTCCCATAAAAATTTCATAATTTTTTGTCAAGCATATTTAGATTGGCACTAAGATAAGGATAGACTGCTCCAAAAAACAGATTCCAAGAGAACAAGATATATCAAACCCAACTATTTATTTATTGACTCAAACTTTAATATTCTTAACTATAGAACTTGCGGACATGCCCACAAAGTTCTAGCACTCATTACAAAAATCCAACTCACACATAAACATAATAACAAATCAACTAGGCACACCAAAGTTCACACCACACTACTAGACTCGACTTGACTCGACTTGACCCGTACTACTAACGTCTTATTACATAGAAAGGACTCCAACACCTATGGGCAAAATTTATGGGAAAGCTCCTCGTACATCCTTGGTAGGTTGAGACACACCATTTGCTCATCTATCACTTGCCGGTATCTCTTAAGGGTCGCCTCCTTTGCCTTCAACTGATCTTCCAACCATCGATTCTTGTCTACTAATTCATAGGCATAGTTCACCATCACTTGAGTAGTGGGATCCGTGCCTTTAGGGTCCATTATTGCCCATCCTAGGTCAAGGTGTTGACGAGGGAGGAAATAATATTGATCTTTCTTCATATCATTAAAGCGACGACCACGGAGACCCATGTAGGCTACAGCGGCTGCATCTTCAATGCTATCTTCCATGGTGGAACAGTGAGCGGGATGCACATAGTTTGAGTCCAGCTGGTATGCTTCCTTATGTTCATCCTAGATGGAGATGCACACCCTGGTCTTCCAATAAGTGTCCTCCAGAGGGTGCGTATGCTCGTTGCAGACGTACTCCACAGCTATGTCCTAATCAACGTAGTAAGTCTGAAGAATCCCCATCAGTCGGTGGTGTGAGATGGAGGATTCACACCCCGGCTTGTACCAGACCTTCGTAGTCCATCCCAGGGAAGGGATAGGCTCGTCCTCTTGAACGGTGTCCTCCTCATCATCATCATCAGACAATGCAACAATCTCCACTTCTTCGGGTTCTCTTTCTTTAGGCTCTTCCTAGAATAGCTCAAGCGTAGGTGCAGGTGCTGGCGAGTCAACTTCTTGTTCCAAGGGTTCCTCCTCCTCATGTGGTTCCATGGACAAGCCATGAGGCGGGTAGTAACCTTTGGGGCTGATGCAAGCGGTCTTATTGGCATGAGGCATCTACAGAATTAGATTTAGTCAGATTAGAAGCAATAACTTTCATAACAGAGTGAGGCAAAAGATGCATAAAATTTAGCAAATAACAAGGGTGTCATGGAAAGCATGAAATAAGTGAAGCAAAAGAAATTAAGACGA